CTCAGCTGTTCTCCTTTACCATCTGTAATTCAATGCTTGCGCCGCGCTGGGTCGAAACGACGACCTGCCTTTCGATAGTATAGATTGCAAATCGCTCAACAAACGTCCATAATGCAACAAATGGCTGCAGATTAGCATTCACAACCTTTTAATTAGTATCAAATGTATTTTTTATTCTTTAAATAGGTCTACTAAGAACAAGTTAAAACGCTACATTAGGGAGGTTTTTTTACTGTCAACGAAATTTGGTGTGTAGACGCAGCTTTTTTTTGTTTCTTTCTGACAAATACTTACTTGTCGATATACATATCACTTTACACAAAGTCATTTCAAGTGCAACGAAAACACTACATTTTCCTAGGATTAATGACCTTTCCTATAGGCCTCTTCCCCGAGCGCCAATAGTAAATTTTAATGCAGTTTTTAAATATATACTCATGATCTCGTTCATTCGAGGATCAAAATTCTTCAAGGTAGGAGCACTTCTTTGACGAAGAACATCATAGTTTCTGTTATCATTTTTTTTTTCCAGAATCGTCATCGCGGGTGAATAATTTCATGATCCCATGTCCTTTGGGTACATACAACGAAATGACAATTCTTTTTCCCTCGTGAGTTGAAGCTGCGCCTGATTTGATAATAATACATCGCTTTCTTTTTTTTATTCAAATGACTTTCTTGGTCAATGCAGACATTTTTTCTATGTTATTACGCATGCCTGCCTGTCATTGACATGTTTTTTGGCTGATTTGGGACATTTTATTCTCTAATATTGAATCTTCTCCGACCAACCGGTCAGGCGGAAGCTCCAAGAAACCGCCTCATTGGTGTTACAAAGAGACCACATTGCTCAACTAATTAGACCTGTTTTTTTCTGAAAACATCAATAGGGCGCGTGATTCATTCTCCTTTCCGTACATCATGGCATTGACCGGGGAAGTCACCAAACAGCAGTTTTTGCGACGGAGCCCACTTATATAGACTGCCTCTTACAAACATAACTCCCGAAATTGGACGCGGTGAGCCTGTCTTTTTCTCTCATGTTGCCACTCTCAGATTCTGCTGCCTCTTGTTTGCTAATTTCAAGCTCCACTATTTCCTCTTATTAAGTGGACAGTTTGCAAGACTCTTCTTCCTTTCATTGTCTCAGTTCGCTATCGCCATGTCCACAGCTGCATAGCAACATACACCGCTAGTCAGCTAAACCTTTCTGGCTAGTCTTTCATGATAGCCTGGCCCCCCCGATCTTACTTTTCTCACCATCTTTCCCTCTTGGCCGGTGCCTTGAAAGAGCGACCTTCTGCTAAGCTGCTCTTCGTTTCTCCTTCCTTTCTCGCCTGTCTCTGCTTACAAATAGAAGCAGGACTTTCCATTCGACTAGATTTCATTGTCTCATAGTGCCAATACGATTTCACTGAAAGTCCTAAACCGGCAGCTTTTTGTTCTGTGGGTAAAGTACCACGTTTACCTCTGTTAATTTGTTTTCCCCAGTAAATTTTGCCACTAAGACGCTGTATATTGCTGCAGCGTTGCTAAGTCGCTGTTGGTGACAAGTTGATGTTTTTTCAATACAACTGGCTGCAATAGAAATCGTGCTTGTCCGCAGATTCTTTCTCTTCTTTGGGCAGGTCGAACCTAGCACTCCGCTATTTGGCAGCAAAAATATGGCCTTGCAGAATCTGTGAATGCCAAAAGTTGTAGCATAAGAGCTCGTGCGTATCACTCCCATCCTTTCTTCCGGTATGTGACAACGGAAGATCTTAGAGTAACTGGTGGAATGAAACGGAATCTTAGAAGTAAAATATATTAAAAAATACAGATGGTGAGAAGATGGACTAATGTGATATTTACAGAATTAGTTTCATTGTTTAAAAAACCAGTTCAAATAGGATCGTATTTGAGTAATGTCTCAACAATTTTATATGTGTTTCAAGGAAGACGGAAATATGTGAAAAAGAATAGTTATGTCTGCTATTACAGATTCGTTTACGTCGTGTCCTGTACATAGCAGTATAGCATCTCTAGTTTGTATCTGTGGAAAAGTAGATTAGCGCAAAGTGACGAGAATGCATAAACGACTGTCTGGCTCACGTATCCGCCAAGGTCCGCCTGGGCTCCGCCGGGGCTGGCCGCACGCCGCCTGCTGGCGTGGTCGTGCCCCGCGCCGAAGAGAGGGCCACACCAATCGGGTGGATGCGCAACGGTGCCAGAAGGGTAGGGGGGGGGGCGAGGCGTTTCGTAATTTCCACTTTACGACGCTTTTATTCATGTCGATTTGCATGATTGTCACGGCGTTGGATCTCAGCAAGCATGTGCATCGCGCTATAAGCCACATTTTTAAAATAATTTCTTTCAGCCCCCCCACCCCCCCCCCCGGGGGGAACTTTCGAGAACTAATTTTAAATTTTGAATTTTTGCTAGATTTTTTGGAAAAAGGGCCTCGTAGCGTGAATTCTATTTTTTTAAGAACAGCGTCAAATGCCGTTTACACGATCGAAAATGCGGACCTTGGTTCAGACGTTATCGTAAAGTAAATTTTAATTATTTTGGTGCTGCCACGTGGGTGGCCACAAATTGTACTGTGGGGTACTATTTAGCCTTAATATTGAAGTAATTATCCAGTGCTCGAGAAAGATGAATCTAATAGCATTATAAGAGAGACGACAGAGATTCTACTCCGATGGAAGAGGTCTAACTATATCACTAAGAATATGTATTATGAGCTGCACCCTTCCGGCATAGTCTACCTAGACTATGGACTGGTAAAAACTCACAAAGAGGGATTTCCTACGCGCCCAGTAGTGTCATTAGTGAATTCAGCCACTTATAAGCTTAGTAAATTTATCAATAGTAAATTAAAAATGTTAGTCGACAGATGTTATCAATATGGGACAAGAAATCCTTATGCAGTTATACAAAAATTAAGTAATGTGAGCTTAGACAAAGATGACAAGATTATTTCCTAGGATATTAAATCGATGGATCCATCTATTCCACATGACTTGATATATCAGATTTTGAACCATAAGTTTAACCAACTAGAAGAAGGAGATGGTCCACATTCGAAAGAGATTTTAATAGGAATAATACTAATACTTAATAATAATGTATTTGTACCCAAACAAATAGTATACAATCAAATGAATGGGTTGCCAATAGGTGGAATGATAAGTTGTGTATGAGCAGAATTTGATATGAGAGAGCTTGAAAAAACAAGAGTTTAGAGCCGATACGGTGGCCGAGATCGCTAAGGCAGTAGTGCCGTAGCGAACTCGGACCGAAGGATCGCGGGTTCGAGTCCCGCCTCGGGCATGGTTGTATTGTGTTTCGTCCTTTCACCTCCTATCATCATCATCATTATCGTGTCAACCCACAGTTACCATACCGTTACAAGTAATAGTGGTCGCTAATGACCTAGTAGTTGATGCGACCTTAAATAACCAGAAAAAAAAAGAGTTTAGAGAGTTTCAATTGAAATTCTACATTAGGTATGTGGATGAATCTCTCATAATAGGTGATCGAGATCATATATATAGAAGTTTAAAGCATGTAATTCAATAATAGAGGTTACCTTTGAAAAAGAAGAGAATAGAGACGTCAATTTCCTTGACCTTTTCTTGAATGTCATTTGAACGAGAGATAAAATGTTTACAGAATGGCATCATAAATCTGTGTAAGCAGGAATTCTCCTAAATTTCAGGTATTCACATCCAAAGTATGTTAAAGTGTAGTAACTGGCTTAGTAGACAGGATGGGCAAAGCTTTTACACAATACGTACAATATTAAAAATTTAGAAAAAAAATTAAACTACTGACCGGTAATAATTATTCATTGAAATTTGTTTCGAAGTATGTCAATAGAAGATTGTACTAGTATGTTCGTGACAAAAAGTCAGATAATGGTAGAGGAGTTGAAGTGAAAGATAGAGAATAGAAACTGGAAAAAACTGTCAAAACATGAGTTCAAGTGTAGTGAAACATATTTTATGTAATGAACCTAATAAGAAGGAAAAGGTTGATCTTAGAACCTCTTAACATCAAGAACTGTGAATATCATAGAACAGTAAATTTGATGTTGGAGTCCAATCAGTTTAGTGTTATGACGGCATAATGCAATCTGTTAGAGAAATGAAGTAGTGACACAGAGATCTTAATAGCTTGTTTGCTCTTGCAGTTTTGCGTTGCTCTTGTGACTAGTGCATTACAATGAAGTACTAAGAATGTTGTACATACTATAATACAGGCAGTTATGTGTACGATGTGAAAATTGACGGATCTCGACGATTGCATATTGTTGAATATATATAATGTTCTTTCTATTGATGATAGTGATCCAATTTTATGGAATAGAATGAAGTTTACATATAAGATCAGAGTACTTGTGTACTAAGAATATATTTGTATAAATGAAATGATATGTTGTATTAGATCATGTGGGTGAGTAGATATCACATATTAAGACATTTACTAATATGCATTTCCTGTTTATATTTTTAATGTGCTAATGATATGATGTGATATCGCTGTTATTGTGAATGTACATGTTTTCATGTAGCCTAATGATGAGGTAAACTACACCTCGAAACGTGGTGTAGTAAATATACTTTTAAGTTTAAATAAATAAATTAATATGTATTTTTATATGAGACTAATGAGATGTGTCAACAACTAGCATTATAACCCATTCATATATTACATGAGAAGACAACTAAGAAAGGTATTTGAAAAAATCGGTGAACTAAGTAATATTGTAAACGAAATATAACTAAAATAACGTAATTTTGCTTTGAACAAAGTAATACGTTTGTATCGTACTAGGTGAATATTTTCTGTATTATTTTGTAAGGCACTGTTTTTATAACTCATGCTAATGTGGTATTATGTTTTTTTAGAATTTAATATAATGTAAATATGTGAAGTCACTGATGTCCGAACCTCTCGATGCGACTTGACGATAAAAATATCCATCCCTAAATACATTTTCTTTTCGATGATTGCAGGTACTTTGAATTTCGACCTGAAGAAAGCGGGCTTCCTGTCCGCAGTGCCCTACCTCGTCATGGCAATTATTCTTCAAGGAGCAGGGCAACTGGCGGACTGGCTAGTTAACAGAAAACTACTCACCGTCACACAGGTTTCTTTTTTATAGAACTTCTCTTTATTTGCAATTTGCTCAAACAGCTTTGTATCGTAAATACTGCAGGCTCTATTATTTGTTTCAATAGCCATCATATAGCTAAATACTTCTCAGCAACGGTGTTTTCGGTTGAATGGAGAATTAATTTGGGAAATGAAAATGTCCTGATCTCTTCAATTCTACTTCATTTTACTTTCTAGCCTTACTAGATACTTAAATTGTAATGGATCATAAACCTGAGAATTAAAATTTACTAATAATTAACCTTTTTAACTATTTCATCCTACACTTGATCGAGTCAAAATGTGTAAGCGAGTAACAATTTTTTATGTTGACTGCCAAGTCTACGATGTTTAATTTTCTTGACGAACTATTGTAAATGCCAAGTTTATGCTCCTACAATGCGAATTTATAATTTTGATGTGAATTCGCGAAGTCTCCCCTACACAGAAAACCGAAATATTATTACTTTGATTTGAGAACCTGGTTCTCTTTTATTCTTTCTTTTGTCATTAGGTTTTTGTAACATTTTTAAATATACCTATAGATTTTTAATAATGTTACTATGATCAGCAAAGTTAATTTTTCATCAACTACATATTTACATAGTAAAGAGAACGTATTTTAATGCTTCGGCAAAGTCGGCAAATGCTTCGACAGAAGGCATTGCGAATTTGAAATGGATATTTTGATTTTGTTATCACGCTGCTTAATGTTATCACTCCGGAACACACGTAATTTGATAATGTTATCCGATTGATATTAATTGACAAAAAATCTAATTGAAGATTACCCGATAAAAAAGAAAGCTACTTCTGTACTTTACTGCTGTGGAAACCATCCACTCATCATAAAATTTATTCTTGTTTTCATTCCATTTAAGTCTTCACTAAGTAAAAAAAATGCATTACAATTTAAAATCAGACTTCAATGTCATATGAGAATCTCAAACATCCGTGAGCATGTTTGTCTGCTGAGCTCCGAAACAAACTTTGATTCAGCTGATCCTTTGTGATCTCTACTTTCAATATTGTAGTTGTAGGAAGACTATTGTAGGAAAGCTGCGTGACAAAATCAAAATGTTGACCTCTTGCAATTTTGGAAAATTTAGAGATTTCATTGGCAATGAGACTTATGGTATTTTAAGCGTCCTTTACTATACCAGAAGAAAATAATTAATCCAAAAGTTTGAAACTATTGTTTAGAAATGTTATTAAATGTTTTGATAATTCATGAGTGTACACCCCAAAACCAAAATCTCCGTTTCAAACTCATAGGGTCTTGAGATTGTCCAATTAACTGTGGAACATTCATTTGGGGGAAATTCTCTGACTGGTTTAAGCGCTAGCAAGTCCTATATGGCCATCTCGTAGGGCCATCTTGTTCCATATGTATCAATATTTACTCGGTACTATGCTTCTATGTGTCGAAAGCGACGACAGTAGTTCTTTCAGTTGGGACGTTTATAAATTAGATGTGTTCAAAAAGGATGTTATTTTGAGCTGTTGTGTTTGCAGGTGCGCAAGGTGTTCAACTGCGTGTCGTTCGGGGCGCAGACGATCTTTATGCTCCTAGCGGCGCACTTGCGAACTGCCGCCGGCGTCGTCAGCTGTCTCTCGCTGGCGGTGGGCATCGGCGCCTTCGCCTGGTCCGCCTTCAGGTAGGACTTTCCCTATATATATATATATATATATATATATATATATATATATATATATATGCTTACATACACACACTTCGATACATTATATACTCTGAGTGGTCTACCACTCCACAGAATATCTTGTTCTACCAGAAGGATTGCTCCCTAGAGTGGGCACCTAAGCCCTCTGGCCTTTATCCGCGCCCCAATCTGGTGCAAAAATACATTCAGGCTGTAGCTACTTGGCTGTCTGGGACACGCCGTGTCCTAGGCACAGGGGCCCTTTTTCGGCCGCCATTCTGCGGCCTTCCTCAGGGCGAAATTCACGGAGGTGATATCGCCTTGAGGAATTTCGCAGAATGGAGGCCGAAACGTTGGTACCTGTGCCTAGGACGCGGCGTGTCCCGTACAGCTAAGTAGCTACTGATTCCGTCAGCCTGCGCTCCGCGACAGCCTGCGCTCTCACCTTCAGGATGGCTTCCGGATTCCGCCGGAACGCAGTTACCCTCTCGGGAACCTTCCCATTTGAGCCTGGGTCGGGCCGCTCAGCCAACTATAAGCGACTACCTTTCCGGGCTAATACCGGAGTTGAATGGAGCGCCATTCACAATGCGCCTTGACAAGTCCCTCCTCTTTGCGGAGTGTCGGGCCACTGGCACGACGAACCCAAGTGTCGCTAAGGTCCGGGGGTCTCTGGGTCCCCAACCTGTCTCCCCACTGCCTCCACCTTGAAGCTATCGACGCGAGTGCCGCCGGAACCTGACAGGGGGGTCATGCTCATCGCCTGGACTTTTATTTGTGGGTTTGAGATCCGCCGCCAGCTGCATGGAGGATGACGAATAACAAGTCGTTCAGACAAATCGCACCCAAAGATCAGTGGCGAGCCACCTCCTCAGTGCCTCCACCTTGAAGCTAACGACGTGCGCGCCGCCGAGAGACTCAGGACCGGGAGGACGTCTCCGCCTCTTCCTAGAGCCTGAGGTCTTGCGTCCGTTAACCCCTTCCCTTTCGACCTCACTTAGTACAGCGCCCTAGCGAAAGATAAATCATGAACTAGTTCAGTTCTCTCAGGCCCTTTGTCGATTGATAACGCGCCTAGATCTTAGCTCTGCAGGTGGATTTTTTTCAACAATTAATGGGCAGTGAGCAAGTGGCAGCCACAGAATCAAACATAGGCACGAGCAAAGTGTACGTGCTAAGTTGAATTATTTCTTACTTAATTGTCTTATATTTAATTTTACTTTTACCTAATCTCTTAATTTAGCCTTTTGTTGATTAACCTTTCAATAAATTTGATTAACACGGGCCAAACAAACGAAATGAATACTCGAAGTCCATACGCTAACGGTGATACTTTTGTTATCGTGGATTCACTGTTTTCTAATGAAAGTGCGTCACAAAACATATTACTGCGATTGGAGAAGGGCCCAAAAGGAACTGCACAAGTACATTTCTTCTCAAGAGAGTAAATTTGCTGTAAATACTGCCGAAATTCAGCAATTAAAACAAAAGTTGCCATTTACCGATCTAACGAATTGGAGCAGAATCAGTGCCACAACACTTTCCGAATATAAAAAAATGCGTCTTTTTCGCAACACACCACATTAAGTATTTACTAGGCTGTCCGGGTGACGCCGCGTCCATGGCGAAGGTGCCGACGTTTCGGTCGCCATTCTCCGACCTTCCTCAGGGCGTAATGCCCTGCCCCAGTCGACGCCTAAAATATTATTAGAATTTAACAAGAAGATGAATATTACCCGATCGATCTGGCCCGACTTGAAGGTAGGCGATTTTGAAACGATTTCTTCAAATTTTTGGAATACATAAAATAAATCCCCTCTGATATTTACAAAATTTCCTAAACAAGAGGTCCAAATCATTTCTCTCAATTTCTTGTAATAGCTTAGTACACTTGTAAAAATGTCATAGGACAAATTTTCACTGTTAACTCTAAATTTTCGAAAATTTGAAAAGTTGCAGTTTTTGGACATCTTTCTACAAATAGATTATTGAAGATTTTTTCTTAATATAAAATGTTTTCTCTGCAATTCTGTTTTCATGTTCATTTTTTATGTTTGTCATGTACATTTTTTATAAAAATATTAATCTGGGCAATTTCAGCATTAGTTTTGATGTTTTGACCACTTTGAGTGAAATATGAGCAACATTTATAAAGTATAAACTAAAATATAGTTTAAATAAGCTATTGGTTTGTTACATAAACTATTGTGCTAAATGCTCTGAATAACATGTCAACGTCATTTTGATGTATTCTTTGGATTTCTCAAAAATTTCAAAATTATTTTTTTAAATATCTCTCACGTCATTAATATTTACTTTAAGGACTTTTTTGTACATTATTATATTAGCTAGTTCCGGAGCTTCAAATTATTTCTTACGAAGTTTCTCGAAAATTCAAAATGATATTCTGGACGTCAGGATTAGAAGTCATGCCACAATTCAAGTTGTTCTGTCGAAATTGTTCTGTCGCCAATTTTGACCACGGTATTATAATTCTATATCTTTACTACGTACGCACGTAGTAAGGCGAGAAACAAACAAAACAACTCTAAAGCTCATGTGATGGAAAGGTATTTTCACCTAAAATTTCTGTTATACAAAAATAATTTAAATTCAAAACGCATGTGGGTTAAACCAAAAAAATACTTTCTCATTGTTTTTATTGAATGAAAGCCTGCTTTTCCCTTGCAGCGTGAACCATTTGGACGTGGCGCCGCAGCACGCCAGTGTTTTGATGGGCCTGTCCAACACAGTGGCCACTTTGCCCGGCATCATCAGTCCCACCCTCACGGGCTACATCGTGCAGGTCAGTGACATCTTTTCCACACTCGTAAATATGCACAACTGATTTTATTGCGGACGCTGTTACACTGACAATTCGTTGCTGTTCCATCAGGTACTTTCATTAACTTTTGGAGTGCGTGTTTTTTTATCTTGGGATAACTTGAAATAGCAGTAAAGATCTGTAACTCGCTCACAAAAAAGTACCTCATGCACCGCTGCGCTGCAGGTCCGAAACAATGATAGCAGTAAAGCGTTAGTAGGTTTCAAGTTTCAATATTATAATACAACTAGTATTATGAACTGTTAATACATTTGTAACTATTGCAAATTGTACGGGAGAGTGTTGTACCTCGATCATAGTGTACCTTGGATCACCTCCTTGTTTCGTAATGTCTGTTGGCAGCTAAAACGCACGTCATTTTGTAAATTTAAACATTACAGTAAGTTATGGCGCAGTGGCGCAGTTATTATTATTATTATTTCAACTCGCACCCTCTTTTATCTCGGATCTGAAATACATTTTATTTGATGGATCACTGCTCCAAAGTGATTAGGTTAATGTTCAAACTTTGGGGAAAAAACACTGCTATTATGTAGAATTTGATGTATAGCAAGTCATTAATAGTGATTAAATGGAACATTAATTTTAATACATTGCACTCAGACAGTTGCTCAAATAAAATACGGACCCAGAAAAAGTGCTTTGTGCTTGCAAACAAATTTTCAGTAGCAAGTAATAAGAAATTCACCCAAAATCGTTATGAAGACAGAATTTCAGGAAAAGAATGAATGTGTCTCTTCATGAAACACCTTTCCAAGGCACTTTCAATTAGAAAACCTGAAGCTACATTTTTTCAATCTACGAGCCTCAACAAATTCAAGAGCAATACACAAACATTTCGTCCCTTTTACACCAGAAAACAGTTGGTATCAGGATGAACTGGTCTTAGAACCATTTAAGTAAAGTTTTCACTGTACAATGTTAAATACATTGTATTATTTGGATAACTATTCACATATATATTGTAGTGATATGCAGAAACATTTTTCCATTGTTGGAGCAGTGTGAATGTAAAGTTTAATGAGATGTAAAACTGAATGATCTGCGTGATCCAAGATTCAAGATGGTAAGATCCGTGGTACCACGGTGGATGCACGTATGTTGTATAACTTAGATCGTGGGTAAGATTTGTTAAGTATAATAAATGTCTAAGGAGTATGAGGATAAGGTTTAAAGACATTGGTTTTCATAGTACCTTGCGTTTGAGGGATGACGCAACTATTCCATCTATAAACGGTTATTATGGTGTAACCTGACAGAAAATTTCATATTTCAGACGATTCAAATTTCCATAGCAATGTAGGCCCTGTTGTGTTTGATACCGGAAGTTTATTTGCTTAAATAAATTATTTAAAGCATATAATAGTGATTTATTAGATAAATGAAAGTGATCCAAGGTAGAACAGTCTCCCCTGCGATAAACGGCCTGTTTGTAGCTTGTTTTGTGTTTTTGCTTAGTCAAACGACGATTGGAGCGCCATCTTCTACATCGCCAGCGCCATTTATCTGTTCGGCGCCATCTTCTACGCCGTGTTCGCGTCGGGGGAGCGCCAGAGCTGGGCGAAGGCTCCGCCATCGCCATCGCCCCCAGCCCCCGCCAACGGCGCAGCCGCCGCCGCCGCCGCCGCCTCCTACGCCAACCCAGCCCTGGAGCTCGAGGCTGCGTGAAACAGCCCTTGAACACGCCGTGCGCGAAACGCCCTCTCCCGTGCTCGTTTTCCGTGAGGGAAAAAGCTTCTTTTATTTTAAACTAATGGTGTTCGAAGCATCACGAAGAGTGACAAAGCGAATCATCGTGAAGCGTGTGCAAAACATCTGTAACAGGTCACAATTGCCTTTCGCCATGTCGACGTCTTTGTTTATTGTCTACATGTAATAGAGATGCGACATGGCTACAGTCACAGATATATAAAAATAGTTTGGCAGAGCTGCTCCTGGATATGAAGCCGTGCAGGGAATGGCGCGAGCAAATTTCGACTTCACTTCCGCGGGTTGCATTGTCAATATAATGTTATATTTTTCCTTGAACTTGAATTAGTTTGCAAATGGCAACACTCCTTATTTTTCAAAATGAAAAGATTATTAAATGACCATTTATTACTGTAATATTGACCGTAAATTATGTTTTATCAGCTAGGAAATTACGATCATGTTTATTCATGTGACATCCGCAACGCATACAAGACATACGCGGTGTTTTTCATTCAGCGTGAAAATACTATAAAACTGAGGTTATAAATGTCATATATTTCGTATAATCAACTGTTAGCAAGCTCGAACGTCTAATTTTGATCACTGAAACATTAAACTCTTGAACCAATTAAGCTACCCCCCATTAATTCTAATTTTTTCTGCACCGCTCAAAAATGTGTAATATGTCAGGTATTATCAGTGGTGAAGCTAATCATTCAGTTGGGTATTCTGAAAATCTTATCTTACATTTTTTTGTAAATCGGCTTCATTCATCTTTTTTTTTCGTTCAGAAAAACGTCGATTATTTGCTATTTAAAGCTGTCGTTTTTGAAAAATTAATTTATCAGTCATTTTAATGCCATAGTACTGAAATAACCTATCTTGATATTTCACCTTGAATTTCTCAGGAATGTCTTAACTTTTTTAATGTTATCATATTTCTTTCACATAATGCTGCATAGGGAAAGATTAGACTGCAACATAGACTGAGTTGTATCAACCGCACCGTCTCTTGATAATTTTTTTCTAGACCAACTTGTCCAACAAAAACTTCAGCAACAAATCTGCAGTCATGAAATTTGTATTGTCAGTGTATACAATTGTCAGTTCATTTTAAAGCTGCTCACAGACAAAGAATGGACATTGTTTTATTAAGAAGTCAATGAAAAACTGTTTTTCGTTCATTCATAGTCGTGTCTGCATTCATGCAGATTTCAATAGTCCCATCTCTAACCCGGAATATTACTACTTATCTCTACTATTTCATCTCTACGGCAGATTACCCTTCAGCTTTGTCACTGGCTATTATAAGACCGCCATTGAGGATATGAAAATGCAATGCTTACGAGCGCAGATAATATTTCGAGTGTTATCCACTAAAGAACGTTTAAAATGTTTAAAATTACACCCATATATCAGACAATGGTTCCCTTTTTTACAATTATTGCTCGTAACTTTGTAAGAAGTATGAGAATACAACTGAACTGCCACAGTGACAGTAAGATGGCACACTCGCAATATCTTGGTTTCAATGCTTCCCCAGCGACCAGCATAGGCATTGCCAATCTATGAGCTGTATATCTGTGACTACAACTCGTTTACTTCTGTAAATGTAATTTTACCAATGAGTTTAGAAAGCGTTTCGCTCAAGGTGCATTAAAAAAAATAGTACATGAACCACGTACACAATTTGCTTTGTGCATTCATTACGCCACTGACTATGTCCGTGTATCAGCATTACATACCACCTTCGTCATTGCCAGAGGCGCCCTGTGAAAACGGGGGTCTGGGGCAGGTGATCCTTGGGGGACCCCTTTTACAAACTAAAAATTCCCTCCTTCGCCAATTCTCCTGCATTTATTTCTCCTTGCATCAGAAATAACTTATAGCGTTAAATTTGGTTTTGAGATAAATATATTTTTCATTTCTTTTGAATGAAAAAAACAAATTAGGAATCCCAATTAAGTCGGGGACTGAGGCAAGTTGCCCTAGTTGCTCCAGTTGCCCCCCCCCCCTTCTGGACGCCCCTGGTCAATGCGAAAATCCTTCATAATTTGGCATGCTTATGCCGTACTACTCGTTTATGGTACGAATGGTTGCATTATCTTACACGCAACAAATCGCAGCGGAGGAATCGAGGGTGGCGGTAAACCACCATGCCGACCGCCGTTTTTCGTACAAATCTCAAGTACGTGGCGTCATAGTACCTTCGTCCATGTTATAAACTACAAAACGTAACTTATGACATTAGTTTCAAACATTTACTTTGTTTTATAAATTTACAATACGGTTATACCAAATATGTAGCATAAGCAATATGAATATGCAATGTTGCTTTAATGCATTCGTACAAATTCGAAAACTCATTTCCAGCGTCACTCGTTTTCAAAACGTGTACTTGTACAATAAAGGTTAACATTATGAGCTAGTTGCGCAATTAACTATTGAGATTCGAGCCCTCCTCCAAGAAGCTGAATTTCGACGCCATTTGCCCCCCTTCATTACTGCTGAGTCATTCCACGTCAAATCGCACACTCACAAAACATCACTATTTTCTAGCGACTTTTCACTTTTTTATGAGTTCTATGGTTTAAAAAAGGTGACACGTATTTTTTTCTAATCCCGACCTTTAAGAAGTATTACCAATTCTTTACGGAAAATCATGCGCGTGCTGATGTTGTGCCCGCCTTCCCGGTGGCATTGTGTCACTGTATTTCGCGTCTTTCTCCGCCGTGTCGCTAGATGGCGCGATCGTATCCAGCTGTACACTTCCTACTTGATATTACAATGGTTATTTGTAGTTGGGTCACTACGGGCGCTAGCTTCAAATGTCTACGGTGAAATCGTATTGTCATGTATAGTATCTATAGTATTTGGTAACAATGTAACAAAAATAATTTGCTAATGAAATTGATGTAATTAACACACAAACCAGCATTGTCACTCGCTACATTTAAAATTTAAAATTTCCAAAGTGTAAGATTTTCATTTAAAAAAAATCAGTACAGTTTCAAGAAAATATTATACGATCATAATGAAATACAAAAAAACAACAAACCAACATAAAAGGCACTTTCATAGATTCACTATATCATCTACGTTTTAATTCACGTTTAATTCTAAAAAAATGTTATTACAAGCGAAAAACCTTTTTATTTCCTCAAATATGTTCGTGTACATGAAGCAGTGGCAACTCGGGGTCATAACATTAGGGTGTGTAACATCTCTCTTCTCTCTCTCTTCCTCCCCATCTCTCTCATACACATACATACACCACATGTATGCCTGTGTATATGGGTATATACAAAGGCATACATCATATACATACATATATACTCATTAACATAAATAATTATGATTAAACACACAGCATCTTACGAAGTCTGCTAGCATACTGAACGGCATCTTCCATTAGCAGTGAAGGTTACCCTATTTTTGTTAACAAACATCTGGTTCGACTTCGCTGGGCAAGAACACCTCCAAAATATTTACTACTAGAGTCGGATTACCATGTACATACCCAGCAGGTTCCAGAACCGTTTTCACAGGGGTGTTAAGAGTTCTATTGTATGATGTTGATTCAAAATTTTTTTACTCGCACTTTTGACTTGAATTGAATTGAATTGAATTGCCTTATTTTACGTAGCGAGACTCACGCCATGAGGTCTGATCTTCCGTCTGACCACGTAAATTACGCTATAGAGAACTTTCCATAAGCAGCCCATATATAGATAGATAGATAGATAGATATAATAGATAGATATACATATGACGGTATTGTTGCAGTATTTCGCATCAGCAGAAATTATCTGCCAATGTCCCTTGATACGGTAACCATAAAAAATAATTTTCATAGCGTGCGGATGGTCCATCTTCGATTGACTTTCAAGTCTATATGCGTTAACAGACGAAGAGAGGCTCCGGCGAGTGTCTGAGAGCTGACGTCATCGAGATAGTTGCATTTCAGCTACAACAACTCGGGCCCTGGCATTCGATACGAGCCGGACTTCTTCATATTATCCCATGCACTTTCTAACGCGTTGCGAAGAATCTCGTACAGAATCCATCCCCCAAGCTTGAGATGCAGTTCCGCCTTCGAGGTAATTGGAAGTAAGAAGATAGTGTGACGTCATGGATACTCACAGCGACCACAGACACAGAGCTTTCATATAACAAATATATTTATTAACAAGAAAACAAAACAAATATATACACTTAATAATCTACTTACATCCTAGTTCTGATAGACCTACTATCCCCTGATCGCGGGAGCGATCCAAACCCGAATGAAGATGGTTTTGATTGTGGCATTCGCCACTCCTACTTTTGAAGCGCGCACAAAGCCTAGCTTCCGTGACCGGATGTCACGCTGGGACAATAAAAGTCCGTTCTGGTGCACCAACGGCTGGTTTGCCTCGATCGCAGGAGCGATCTTATCCGATTGAGAATCGGCGTGAATCGTGGCACTCAACCACTCTTCACCTCGGAGCACGCACACAGCATCGCTCCCCCGTGACCGCAGTCACCCAAGGACCTAAAGTCCGCAGGCTTCGTCAACTAGTGACTCGAGCCTCGCGAGCCTGGCTCGCATATGCACCGTCGTGGCGCCAAGTTTTGTGCACACGCACGAGGTTCTCCCACTGTCTCCAGAACCCACCCACTGGCTCTGTACACACACATATAGGCGAGGCCCACGTGACCTACTACGTCACGCCACCCCCTCGCTTGTTATAACAGTGAAAAGTTTCTATAAGACGGAAGACTCCCAAAGCCTTGTGTCTCCCGTTTCCGCGTTCTTCCCTTCACGGAAAAACCCTTCTTCCTGTGGCGAGGCTAATCTTCTACCAAGCGTCCCCAAATAGATGCCATGAGGCACGCTGGCTAATACGTTACAATAGATCACTACAAAATTGTGTATGTGTGTAGCTCTTGAGCTGTTTTGAGTGTACAGTGAATTAATGTAATTACAAGCAGGAACACTTTTAACATTTTGGTAATTAATAGGTTTATGGAACTTTTATGACTGAGTTTTGACAATGAATTCTGTACACAGTTTACATGATAAAGCTTTTTCTGTAAATTCTTTTCTAAGCTTGCTAAGGAAGAAAAGCTGAGGATAAAAGAACTTGGCAAACCGTTGACAGATTTAAATATAGTGCAAATCGTAAAGACAGGAAATAGACAACTTAGGAGGGGTTTAAAAGATATTATTTTAAAAATGCTCAGTGGATGGGTTGAGGAAAATTCTGTTTTGCTTTCTGTGCCTTTTGTTTGAAGGAAAATATTGTTGGACATCAGCAATCGCTGATTTAAATCATTTGAGTGTTTATGTAAAAAAGCATGCTTCATCAGCTGTACACAAACATATTTTCAAGTATACATTATTTAGAAATACCAGCATAGCGTCACAGTTGGACACCGCTTACAGAATAAAGAAAGCAGAAGAAAAAAACTGATAATAGGTATGTCCTCAGTATGTCCTCATTATGTCCTCTTTATTTAACTCTATCCGTTTCTGCGGGGCATTTGAACTGGCATTGAGGGGACATGATGAGGGTTAAAAACCATCTAATCTTCGGATTTTTAAAGGCCGTGTAAATTTTGTTCTCAGTTAGGGAATAGTGTTGGTTAGTTCTCACTTCATTTTTGGGCTGACATTTTGCTGCAAAATAAGTTAAATTTTATTCGGTCAGTTGCAAAAGAAAGAAATTGATTTGTCGTCTGCACATAAAACCTTATCATGTAAAAAATATAAAGTTATTCTTTGTAGAAATTTCGAGTGATTCAGCAAAGAAACGAAAGTGTGATAATTTATAATGGAAAAGCAAAAGAGGTATGTGATGTGATTTTAAGTGAAACGAAAGCTCGGTATACGTTCGTAGGACGTATTCATCAAAATTCTCAGACGAAATCTCTGAAAGAATTCTCTGAAGAACTCTCTGAAAAATTTGTCCAATTTACATTTTTTTTAAAAAAAAAGAAACTTCAGAATGCACTGTCCTAAATTTATTCAAAAGAAAAATTAAGATTTACATTGATAGGAAATATTAGTTTATCAGAATTATTTTTTTGAGAAACAATTTCGTTCACTCAATGAACTCAATGAATCTTCAGTTGTTGAAATGTATACTGACAATACCAAAGACAGTAGAAGCTGAAAGATTTTTCTCAACTCCAAAAAGAATGAAGGGGTTTTGAGTTTGGGTGGGGAAAGACTATTAGCATTGGCGATGCTATCCAAAATAACTTCATAAAAAATATAATATATTTCAGCAAGAAAGTAATGAACTAATTTGCAAAAATAAAGGAAAGGAAAAAGGATTTTCTTTTCAAGTGAGGTACGTTTTATATAATTTGTATTTTTAGTCAATTTCAGCCAGTTCTCTGTAAATAGGTTGTGCATAGAGGCTGCTTTTACGACATTTCTTTATCCTGTGGTGACGCAGGTGTGCAACAACCTGATTCGTGGGGCAACCACCCGCCACTAGCATACAGATAATACGGACTGTATATGCAAATGAAAGACAAGTGAATAAATTTAACTGATACAGTATGTGCAGCAAATTATGCAGTAAAACAAGAATAATTATCATTTGCCTTGATTACATAGAACTGAGCTACCAATTTTTCATACATTCATTTCTCAACATAATCACCGATCCAAACTTCTTATGTAAATGAAATGTATTTGTTTGTTCTAAGTTAAATCTATTATCTTTCTTTAATATATTTCATACGAAT